GCAGGCGAGGCCCCTGGCCTTCGTTGATGCTCCTGGGGCGGGGGGGTGAGGACCCAGGCGTCCGGGCTCCCCCCTCACCCCCCCCACCACCTCCAGGGCCCTTCGTCCCCTGTGCCCCCAGGTTCTTACCAGGCGGCGGGGTCGTATTCAGCCCACACGCGCACGTACTCATCCAGGTGGTGGGGCCCGAGGATGGAGGAGTCGCGCGTCAGGTACTCGAAGTTGTCCATGATGACGGCGACGAAGAGGTTCAGCATCTGGGGGGGTGGGAGGAAGGACGCGGTGTCAGGGATGGCCAGCCTCGTCCACCCCCCCGGTGACCCCTCACCCCCGGCGCTCACCAGGAAGGAGCAGAGGAAGATGAAGGAGACAAAGTAGAAGTAGGCGAACTCGTTGCCGCACTCGCGCTCCTTGATGCCCGAGTTCTCGTCGCAGGGCTTCCCGCTCAGGCACGACAGCATGATCTCGTGCCAGGCCTCCCCCGTGGCGCTCCTGCGGGTGGCACGGTCAGGGCACCCTGGGGCGGTGGCACCCACCCTGACGGCCACCGTGGGGGCACCCGGTGTGGGGATGAGGGGATGCTCGGAGCCGGATGCACCCAGAGCAGGGATGGGACCATCCTGGGGGACGTGTTGGGTATCTGGAGCAGGGATGGGACCATCCTGGGGGACACGTTGGGTGCCCAGAGCAGGGATGGGACCACCCTGGGGGTCATGTTGGGTATCTGGAGCAGGGATGGGACCATCCTGGGGGACACGTTGGGTGCCCAGAGAAGGGATGACACCATCCTGGGGGTCATGTTGGGTATCTGGAGCAGGGATGGGACCATCCTGGGGGACATGTTGGGTACCTCTAGCCGGGGGAGCTGCCGATCACTGAACTCACCGGAAAAGGAGCATGAGGGCCTGGAAGAAGGTGCGGAAATTGTTGTGCTGGGTGATGGCCGACTCATCATCCTCCTCCTCAATACCGATGTTGCCAAACACCTGGGGGGGACAAGGTGTTGCAGGCAGGCAGGGACAGACGGAGGCCGGCCCGGACAGCAGGATGCAGCCCTGGCGCCCGCTGGGGACTCACCTGCATCCCGATGATGGCGTAGATGAAGAAGAGCATGGCGATGAGCAGGCACACGTAGGGCAAGGCCTGGGGGGAGAGCGGGGATCGTCATTCCCGTGCTGGGGTGGACCCTGAGGATGTGGGTCCCAGCAGCCAAGGCTGCAGCCAGGTCCGCAGGGGATGACGCGTGCCGGGATGGATGGACGGAGTGCGGCAGGGAGGCGGATGGAGCAATCTCCTCCCCGGGCGCCGGCCCGTGCTCCGCTCACCTTGAAGGACTGGACGAAGGTCCAGAGCAGGATGCGGATGGTGTAACCTTGGCGGAGCAGCTTGATGAGTCGGGCGGCCCGGAAGAGGCGCAGGAAGCTGAGGTTGATGAAGTTGTTCTGCAGGGGATGACAGGTGAGCCAGGGTCCGAGCCCCGGGGTGGATCCGAGCCCCCGCAGGGGGAGCGGTTGCAACCTACCCCAAACTCAGTCACTAGGATGTCTGTGATGCTCCCCAGAACTGTGACAAAATCAAAGATATTCCAGGCATCGCGGAAATAATTCTAGAGAGGAGAGAAAAAAAAACCAACAAGGGACGAGAAGGAAGAGCAGGACGGGGTGGTGGGCGCTCTGCAGCGGCCAGGGTGGACGGGGCAGTGGAGGCAACGAAGGGGCCCTGCGGCACCAGCTCTGCTTCGCCCGCATTGCCCCGACCGTGGTTACCCCGGGGCCAGCTCCTCGTGGTCCTGTGACTACCCATGTGCCAGCTCCGTAGGATCCCCTGATCACTTGTGCACTGGCTCCCCAGGATCCCATGATTACCCGTGCACTGGCTCCCCGGGATCCCATTTCCACCCATGCATCAGCGTCCCACGATCCCATGACTGCCCATGCACCAGCTCCCCCAGATGCAGCACCAAGGGAGGGGTGTGCAGGGTTAATGTGATGGGGCAGGGGATGGAGGGGACTCCCAACCCCTTGGGAAGGGTCCTCGGTTCCCAGTCGGGGATGCTCTGGGCTCAGGGCAGGAGGAGCTCAGGAGGATCCAGCCCAGGAGGGCAGGATCAGGCCCTGGAGGGTGCTGAGCCGGGGGGGGCTCGTGCCCCCAGCATGGTCGGCAGAGTGATCCAGATGGTGCCAGTGCTGGGCAAGGACAGCCCATTCCCAGCAACGCGGTGGCACCTACCAGCACACCAAAGGCCATGATCTTGAGGAGACACTCGAGGGAGAAGAGGGAGGTGAAGACGTTGTTGAACATCTTCAGCACGTTCTCGTAGGCGTCCGAGGCGTCGTAGAACTGCAGGGGACACGAGAGGTGGGGACAGGGATGTGCTGGGGGGATGGGGATGCACCCAGAGGGATGGAGCAGGCTGGAGGGCAGGGACAAGGGACAGAGACAGGTCCTAGGGGGCAGGGAAGCACTCCAGGGGACAGGACAGATCCAGGGGGACAGGGACAGGTCCAGGGGATAGGATAGGTCCTGTGGGACAGGATGGGTCCTGGGGAACAGGGACAAACCCCAAGGGACAGGGACGAGTCCTGACACACAGGGATGGGACCCACAGGGACAAGAACAGGTCCCAGTGCAACCTCCAAGGAACAAGGACAGGTCCAGGGGACAGAGACAGACCCACAGGGACATGGACGGGTCCTGGAAGACAGGGTTGGGACAGGGAACAGGAACAGATCCCGGGGACAGGGATAGGTCCTGGGGGACAGGGATGGGATGGGGAGCAGGGACAGACCCCAAGGACCACTGTAGCCCAGCCCAGGATGCCCCAGCCACCCACCTTCATCATGAGGACGATGGTGTTGAGGGCGATCATGGCCATGATGGTGTACTCGAAGGGAGGGGACACCACAAACTGCCACATGCGGTACTGGAAGCTCTGGCGGTTCTGGGGCATGTGGCGCGTCAGGGGCTTCGCACTGATGGCGAAGTCGATGCAGGCCCTCTGCAGAGGGGACAGAGCGGGCATCACCAATGGGGAAGAAACCACACCGTGGGACATGTGGCCCTTCCGGGTGGCCAGGAGGGTGGCTCGGGCTGGTACCACCAGGATGGGAGCAAACGGTGGAGATGGGACGCTGGCACGCAGCACACCTCATTCTTCTCCAGGCTGTACTCCTCCATCATCTTGTCCCCTTGCTCCTGGAAGGTGATGATGATCAAGGCCACAAAGATGTTGACGAAGAAGAAGGGGAAGACCACAAAGTAGACCACGTAGAAGATGGACATCTCCATGCGGTAGCCTGGGCTGGGGCCCTGGTTCTCGTAGGTGGCATCCACCGAGTGCTTGAGGACCCTGCAGCGGGGCGAGGGCAGAGACGGGGTGGGGAAGCCATGGGGAGGCATAAGTTTCCCCAGACATTACTGGCATGGTCCAGCCCCATGCAGCTCCTGGTCCTGCAGGACCCAGGCGTCCTGGTGCCCAAGCCAGGGCTCAACCCACCAGGCAGCGCTCCCCGAGGTTTAAACCCAGGCCAGATCCCAGTACACCCCATCCCCACGTGGGAGATGACCCATGGGCCCCCCACAAAGCTCAGGGGGGGTCCCATGCCCTTACTGTGGCCAGCCTTCTCCTGTGGACACGGTGAAGAGGGTGAGCAGAGCCCAGAGCACGTTGTCATAGTGAAACTCGTACTTCTTCCACTCCCGCTTCTGTGCCTTGACCTCATTGTCCTTCTCGTAGACCAGATATTCCCCCCTGTGATGGGAAAAAGCGATGGGACCAAGGTGGGGACAGGTCCCAGCAGAGCTTGGTCACATCTCCACCTCCAGTGGTGGTCGGAGGTGTCCCCACGCTGGGTCCCACGCCGTGGCCAGTCCCTACCTACAGTCCTTCTCAAACTCTTTGGACTCATCGGTGCAGTAGAAGAACTTGCCCTTGAAGAGCTGGACAGCCACCACGGCAAAGATGAACATGAAGAGCATGTAGACGATGAGGATGTTGAGGACGTTCTTGAGGGAGTTCACGACGCAGTCGAAGACAGCCTGCGGGGACGGGAGATGGGATGGGGTCAGCGGTGGCTCGGGATGCGTGGGAAGAGCAAAGCCCCCCTCGGCCGGCGACAAGGACCCCCCCGGCCTTTACCCACCTTGAGCTTTGGCAGCCTTTTGATGGTCTTCAGGGGCCGGAGGACGCGGAGGACGCGGAGGGACTTGATGGTGTTGATGTCCTTCCCTTTGCTGCTGCCGCTGTGGAGGGGGTGGGGCACCCGTGAGGTCCCAGCACCCCGGGGTGCCCTGACGTCCCCTGTGCCTGGTCCGGACCCAGGCGTCCTGGAGGACTCAGGAGTTGGGGCTGCCCATGAAATTCCCCTCCCCGCCGGGGCCGGAGGACGCGGAGGACGCGGAGGGACTTGATGGTGTTGATGTCCTTCCCTTTGCTGCTGCCGCTGTGGAGGGGGTGGGGCACCCGTGAGGTCCCAGCACCCCGGGGTGCCCTGACGTCCCCTGTGCCTGGTCCGGACCCAGGCGTCCTGGAGGACTCAGGAGTTGGGGCTGCCCATGAAATTCCCCTCCCCGCCGTCCGTATTTCCCAGCCAGGCATCCGGCTGCCAGGACTCTGGGGCAGCTGGGGCCCTCGTGCTCCTCAGGACTGAGACCCCACGCACTCAGCTCACGCCAGGCAGAGCCATAACCCAGCATCCTGCTCCCTAGCTGAGCACCGGGACCTGCTTCCTCCTTCATCGCTGGGTGCGGAGGGGACCTAAAGGGACTGTGCGGCCAGAGGGGACCCGCCGCGTCCCCTCCTGACGCTCCTTTTTGGGGACCCCTTGCGGGGACCGAGGCAGAGAGGAGGGTGGCAGGGCCAGCTCCGTGCGAGCCGC